ATTATGGCTCATACTCCATAGGATTTTTTTCTTCTTCTAATACCTGAAAAATAGGTAGGCAGGGTGAGCGCAACTCAATGAGTAGGGTTAGGATACCGCTCTCACCCCACACAACATCATAGCAGATGCTAAATATTTCTTATTTGTTCATACGATTAATATTTATGATCATGCAGTGTCACACAAATGGCAATACAACAGCAACCACAATTATTATCACATTCATAATAATCACATCACGTGGAAATCTAGTTCAGTGGCACTAACCTAAAACCCCAACGGCCCGTCCTCACTATATGGCTCGCCTCTCATCCATGTGGCACCAGGGAGCCGATCCCCAATATCGGCCAACCTTTCTAAATCCCCACCTGACCAGTCTCCATTGCTCTTTCCATTCTCTTCTTTCTTTTCATACCAACAGGAAGGCCAACCCGGTGGTCTCCAGTCCAATCTACGATCCAATCAGGTTGCTCACAACAGGAGGGCCACCCTGCGGGCTACAATCAAGCATCTAGATTATCAGGTTGCGCAACAACAAGAAGCAATCCTGTGGTTTTCCATACAATCCATACATCAATCAGGCTGCATCACGGGGCGCCGATTCTCCCATTTTCCCGGCCGACGGTCAAAATCATATCAATATTCAGGATCCATATAACAGACGCGTCCTCACAGAACCCATGGTGGGTCCACTTTCATCCAATTCGCACAACAAACAAGGCAATAGTAATATTCATAGCACAAGTAATCAAACAACTTTCAATATCAAACAGATAGTAACAAATAATATTGCAATTCAACAAAATAATGCATGCCAACATTTAAGCCGTGAATGCATGAATGCAATCCGAGGATACTCATTATCTAACACTACTCCAGTTCTTTATCGTCCTCTAAGGAGACTGTTTTCTAGCAACCATGCTTCCAGCCGTTTTTTCCTCGCATTTCGGATTTTATAGACCTTTAAAAATAAAACAATAAAATCTAAATGAAGAATTTAATTCGAAAAGATTATTATTAAATATTCGTCATTTAAGTTTTGGTTACAGCTTCTTTAATTCAACTTATTAATTAAATTAATACATATATTTATAGATATATATTGGGTTTCCCTTATTTATTTTATCTATTTCTAATTATCACTTTAATAAAACGTTTAGGTATCTGTTAGTAAATATATTTATAATAATACGAATAATAATAATTAATAATAATAATAATACGGATTGATATATATACATATTTAATAACAATAATCATTTATCCGTACTTCCTAATTGAAAATTCGACCAGCATTTCTCTAATAAATCAAGTACTACCAAATTTTATATCTTTTCCGCATGTCAATTCAGTCAGCCCATGCCATCGGGCAATGTCAATTCACAATCCCGTCCACCATAACCATCAATTTATTAAGTCACCCGTCATACCATGCATAGGCACTTGTTTAATCCTAATGCTCTAATTCATTTTAAATCCATAATATCATAATTACTTATACCCAGTAAATTAATAATTTCTTCCTAGTTAACCTTTCTAAAATTCCGGCAATTAACATATAATATATTATTAGTGTATCAAATTCAATATCAATACTAATACTGAATTTCTAATACAAACTATAGCCCACAGTCTAGCAAATTCATTAATAAACAAGCGATTCATTTTTAATAATACCGTTTCTAATCTCAATCAATCATTAAAACACATTAAAAATGAACATATGGCTGCTGCCATTACACCAAAAACTTCAAAGTCGAACCTTCATTAACATCAATTCATTACACAATCATATCACGCCTACGTAATATATAAAACCACAATCATTTAAGCTAACTAACATTATTTGAAATCTAGTACTTATAAGGGTAAAGTATATTTGCCGACTAAACTAGATGCCTTATTAAGAGTAACCAACAAATTTATGTAAGTGTTATAACACTTTTCTAGATAATGGAAAACATTCTGAGAATGATGATCAACCACCTTTTAACTTACATTTTAACTTAGTAACCTATTTTAATCAAGTCGTGCGTCAGTTCACAGCTTTGTAACCAAATAGAATCAAATAAAAAAACTAATTTATAGACAATAAAATTACACAAAAATAAAACATTCTTCTTCTAAGGAATTTCGGTCACCAGAATACCACCACCGCAAGCATTTATTTTTGTACAGCCGCCAATCGAAGCCATGGCCGGAATTGAGATACCATCCTCTTTAAACAAATGCAAAAAATTATAGTTGGATTAATCCAAATTCGAGAGAGGAGTTCACCACCGCTATCAATTTCATCAAGCAACTAACTATTTTCTAAAACAATTGACAAAAACCTATTTCAACGTAACTTAGCAATGATTAAGATATCTCCCATTATTAACACAAAATTAACTAAAAGAAACTATTTTACAGAGATTGGAGCGATATCGGACCTACCTTTGTCCGGTAATGAGTTGCCCGGAGTTGCTCGGCCAGGAAGGACAGCGATCAGCAACCCTTTTGCGATTCGACTATCACTCGTTCCGAATAGTTCTGTGCTGTGAAGACAGAAGTCAGAGAGAGGAGGAGGAGAGAGAAGAACAGGAGAAGAAGAGAGACAGGGAACGTGAGGGTGCAGCGGCGCCGGTAGGAGGCAGTGACGTTTGGCTGGTGAACCGGAACAGAAAGGGGAGGGAGTCTGTTGGTCCGGTGCTAACGGGAACGAGAGGGGAGCAGCTTTGTTCGCGCGCTCGGAGAAGAAAAAGGAGGAGAAAGAAAATGAAAAAGAAAGAAAGAAAAAAAAAAAAGAAAGAAAGAAAGAAAAAAAAATCTGTGCCTTCTAGAACACATGTCGGTTCGATTCGAAACTGGTTTTGGTCTGACCTTAGTTGTAATTTGGTCCTCATATTTTCTTTGTTTTCGAGTTTTTTTTCACAATCGGATTTTTAGATTATTCGTTGTGGTTTTTCGGACAATAAATTTAATTTTCGATCCGGTTCGATTTATTTGAAAATTGTTTAGTTCAGGTCCATAATAATAGTAATCTATTTGATTTTTAAGATATTAATTTAATGTAATCTATATTCTTATAATAAATTTAATAGCAAATTCCATATTTATTTCTGAATATTTAATGGTTTCTTAAATCAAAAGTTTCCGATAATACATTTTTTGGGCTGGGCCGCAAAATATCACAGCCCAGTGATCACAGAATTGGGCTTGATTTGAGACTGTATTTCTATTTGTAGCCCACATGTGAAAATTTTCGATTTTTGATTTAAATTAAATTCAAAAGTTTCGAAAATAAAAATTCGGGGTATTACAATTTATTTCTTCCTTTAAAATAGCAATTTAAATATCAAATATGTCATTTACATTCTCTTCAACATACTGATTCATATAATTTTTATTATACGCTAATTGCTTTTATTTTTCGCTTAAGTACCAAATTGATTTATAAAAATCATCATATAGCTTTTATTTTACGTTTTATAAGTAACTTACATGTTTTGCTAATAACTTCTACTATAACCTCTTTTAGTAAATAAATATATTTTAACAATATAATAAAAAATTAATCTAATAAATAAAATTAAATATTAATTTATAAATAATAGTAAATTTTATTTTCATTTTTTTTGCCAATCAAAATCATGAAATTATTTAAAAATTTTATTAATAAAATTATATTCCTTAATAGAATGAATTAAATAAGATATCAATATAATTAATCAAATTTGAGATGTTTAAAATAACTAATTTTTTATCTTATTTTTTGGCAAATCAAATTAGAGTGCAATTTGTAATTAAAAATTAACCATAATCCTTGTTAAATCAAAATCTTATTTATCTAGATATAATTTATTTAAAAAATAATTTAAAAAAATAAAAATTTTCAAAATGCCTCATGTTTACACCTATTCATTTAAAATAATAATGTTGAAGATAAATTACAATAATAGTAAATAAAATAAAATAAGTACTAATAATAATACAATTATTAAATTCTTATATTAATAATTTATATAATAATAGATTACAAAATAAAACATAATTAGATCGTAATAAAGATATAATAGTAAAATTTTAAAATTTTCCAAATTTGCTTAATTATTATATGTAAATTTATCTATTAAAATTTAGAAAAACATCCAATCAAATTATAAGATAGTTATATATATTTTTTATGTAAGAATTTTTATTGGTTAATGACTAAAAATATTATTATATATATTTTTATGTTAAAATTTTTAATTGGTTATGACTAAAAATATTTTAGAGTATCTTAAATTTTACAAGGATAATATAGAAAATCTCATTATTCTCTCTCATTCATACTTTTATATATAGTATAGATAAATAGCATAGATAGATATCTTAAGCAGTGCAAATTAGATAAAATATTTTATAAGTGATGACTGTAAGTATTTCAAATTTTGAATTTAAATCTTATAAACAAAACTCGCTTAAAAATAAAATATATTTTCATTGATCTAATCTTTTGTTAATAAAAAATCAAAGACTTTAACTAAACTTGATGGAATTGTTGTATGATGTTTGTTGCTTCATACATTGTATTAACAACCTGTTTACGGAAAGCTATGTCAACTATATAAATGTAAAATTAAGTTTAAGCATCCTTTGAATCTGAACTTTTTAAATAGTTGAAACTTAAATAGATTTAGGATAGGATTAGTAATATTTTACTAGGGCTGTAAATGAATCGAGCAAAGCCGAACTGGAATCGAGCCAAGCTGATGGTATGCATTTTGAACTCAATTTTCTTTTTAAAATGTTTGCAGTCGGTTCTTACCATATTTCTCTTTGTTTTTTACTTACAAATTTATTCATTGTTTTATTTTATTTGTTTCATTTTAGCTTGATAATTGATGGTTTGCTAAAATGAGTTCAAAACATTCTCTCCTTTGTTCTTTAATTTTCAATTTTTGAGGAATTTTTTTTTTCATTTTGGGGGTAAAAATAAATACCAAATCAAAACATTTACAGTTTAGAGCTCTGAATGATTTAAAGAAATTAAAGAAATGAGTACTAGAAAAGAATCCAACAATTGTTTTCATTTACAGTTAAATGGAAACTAGTTGAAACATGGTAAGCTTGCATTGAAAATCAATTGTTTTCCATTTGAATTTGATTTGCACGGACACAGACAATGCTAGTTCCGATGAACTTAAAGCGTTCGACAAAAAAATCAAGCTAGTGAGTTCCACTAGCTGGAAGGGTCCTGTATGCACCTCTTTTTGTTCTCACATGACTCCTCCTTCTCCTCGTTCTCTTCCTCATCTACTCCTCGATGATGTTCTGTTGAATCAGCGTCGCATCTTTTCCTCTGAGGGATCACTTGAAAGAATGAATCCTTCCAATCTTTTGTTTCCAAGAACTTGAGAAGTATCTCTATTACTTGGTTTACTGTAAGGACCTGCACAGCCAACGATATGAAAAGTTAGATGGAAAGAATGCCAGATTCACCTCTTATTTACCATTTATAATAAATCATACAATTTGTTTTAGCTATGTCGAATCCATAGGAGTCAAATGAACATTCTCATTCATACCAAACATGAACATAAAATTCTCAATGAATTTCACAAAATCGTGCAAAATTTATTTACGCAGAAGGGCCTTAAAATTCAACACATTAGTTTACAAGGAAATCGACATGCCATGAGGTATGAGAAGGAATATCCACTTTCCAAACACAGGGCAACTTCATTTAACAATCAAAAGCTTCAGAATTGAAAAGTAAATAAAGAAAGATAATTGCAGTCAAATTTAATGCCTAAAATAAGTTAGGGGTGGTTTCAGGTGCAAGAGCATTAAAATTAAAATGACAGGAAGTTAACAGAACCTGAAATTATAAAAAACAACCATTAAATAGTTATATGCATGTAAAGAGAATTTTCCTAGCATAATCTCCATAATTCCCTCCCTAAACAATGTGGAATTGGATAAAGCTAAATACAGCTTGCCAAACATACACAATTCTCGCGCAGGCTCATTTCTGTCCACACACTCTACAGCTAGGAGGCTGTAGAGCCAAAAAGACACAATGTTTTCCTAGTGTCAATGTCAAACACACAGCTCAAGTGTGTCCGAAACAGCTCCATATGTGTCCAAACCTTTAATATTTTTTTAATCTTATGACACGCATCTGGGACATATATTAGATTCTCTAATTTGTGCCAGACAACTTCACAGATTGACATGAAAGAATTTACTACTGCACAGATTGACATGAAAAGTGTAGCATTTACTACTGCACATTCGACATCAAAGAGAAACTACATGCTCCAAATTTCATAGGCTCTATCCCTTCAGTATGTGAAATGCAAGCAACAAAATACTTGACATGAAAGAATTAACACAAAAGCAAACAAATGACAAGTAATAATCAACTCAGAAGCCTATAGAAGAAGAAATTGCAAATCCGAAGACCAATACCTGAGAACTTGACATCTTCAAGTGATTGCCTATAGGGAGTTTTGCAGTTTGGATTCCTTGCTCTTGAGCTTTCTTCATGGTTAACCCTTTCCACCGATTCCGATCTACTAGGCCACCAACAATATATATTCTTTTCAGATCAAGTTCATCAAGCTCAGTCTCTGCATCTGCTGTAAGATAAACTAGATTTTCTTTCTGGTCTTGCAATGCCTCAATGTACGATCGACTTTCTTTCTCAATTATCCATTTGTCAAATCCTGGAAGTCTTTGCAATTGGCTTTCCATTTCTCCTGCACAACCAGTCAACCAGAGGAGACCAGGGGTCGCACATCTTCCATTCACGGCATAGCAATACATAATCTGCAAATCCATTTAAACATAACAGAAATTTAATTATTTACATAGTTCGTCTCAGAAAGCCTTAAAAAACAAGCATTTAGTTCAATTCCATTTGCTCAATTTGCAGTCTTAAAACGTAAGAATTCATTTTTTGAAGAAAACCCCAAGAACACTGTATGCAAAAAAGAAAAGAAATCCCCTACTCACTTTCCATTATTCCAAACACCGAGGGCTTGTTAGTGCACCTTGGAAATGAATATCTATACTGAAAAACTCCTCTTCTAAGTTTAATTTTAAAAATAAATTTAAAAAAATTCGTTAGTTAAATTAACTCCTTTACTCATAAAAATATACAATTTCAGTATAAATTAAAATTATTCAACCATAACCAAAAAAAAAAAAAAAAAAAAAAAAAATTAAAAATTATTTCAACATAACCAAATAAAAAAAAAAAAAAAAAAAAAAAAAAAATCCCATTCTAAGAATTGTATTCTACTCCAAATTCCAGCGCCAAACATAAAATTCTATTTATCATAAAATCAATGGAGATGAATTTTCAGAGACAATGTGAATGTATAAGAGACCTGTTGAACGAGACTGTGAATCTCAGAGGAAGTCATGAGATGAGAGAATTCTAAATCGATAACGATTTTTTGACCGTTGGATTTCGCTTCTGTTAATCTCTGGATTTTATTTTCTCTTTCCTCAGATCGTTTCTCCATTCTCTCCTTCCTTAGCTCTCTTCTCGACTCGATTAGCTTTTCCCTCTCCTCTTCAGAGACGCCGGCTAGAGTTTCTTCCCATTCCTTTCGCTTTCTCTCTGCCTCTTTCTTCTTTTGCTCTTTCATTAACGCCTTCTTCTCTGCTTTTTTCGCTTCGAATTTTTGCTGCTTTAAAAGCTTCTTTTGGGCGTTTTTCGAAAGAGGCTGCGGTTGTGGAGACGGTGGCTGCTGTTCATCTTGTGGAGGAATCGGCTGCAAATCGGATCGGTTGTCGAGGGTGGTTTGTTCAATTTGTGTGTCGTCAGCTACCATTGTTGCGCTTGCTGTTGCAGAGACTTCCGTGCTCATAGAATGTATGGGGTTAAGCTTAAGGTTAAGCGTGGGAGGGTTTAGGTTTCCCATTTTCTTTCTGTTCACATTTGTTATTCGTGTTGTATGTAACACAGCGTCGTTTGTTGGCGTAGTGCTCGTGTCGGTAATAAAATCGGCCGGATTTATTATTTCACCCTCAACTTTTAAGTAGAGCTCGTATCAGCAATAAAATCGGGCCGGATGTATTGTTTCACACTCAATTAAACCTAATATTCTAATTTCACTCCAATTTAATTTTTATATCAATTTTATATGAATTTTGACTTTTATTGCAAATTAGAGTTTTTTATGACGTGCATTACACATTAAATGTGCTCGTTATATGTTCATTTAATTTTTTATTTATATAATATTAGAGTATACATTTTTATTTAGATTGAGTGATACATACAATAAATATTTTTTTATTATATGTCAATATATTGAATCATATAATTTTTATTATACGTTAGTTGCTTTCATTTTCTTTTTTAAGGAAAAAATAAATTAATTTATAAAAATTATTATATAACTTTTATTACATGTTTTATAATTAATTTACATATTTTGTTCATAACTTTCACTATAATCTCTTCTAGTAAATAAACGTATTTTAACAATAAAATAAGAAACCAATCTAATAAATTAAATTAAATATTTATAATAATAATAATAATATTTTTTACCAATCAAAATCAGGAAAGGATTTAAAAAATTATTAATAAAATTATATTCTTTAATAGAAATAGGATTTGAATTATATAAGATATCAATATAACTAATTAAATTTGAGATGTTTAAAAATAGAAATAGGATTTGAATTATATAAGATATCAATATAACTAATTAAATTTGAGATGTTTAAAAATAATATTTTTTTTATTTTATTTTTTGGCCAATCAAATTAGAGTGCAATTTATAATTGATAATACATAATAGTAAAATATATAAATAATGTATTAATAAATCAAAATATTAGACCCCTAAATAAACTTCAACTAACAAATCATGCAAAATTTCTATAATCCTTATCCTAAATAATTATCCTTGCTCTAATATAAATATCACGATTTTCACCCATAAGGGGATCTTTGAATACCCAATTTCTAAGAACTTAACAATTGGTGCGGTGAGCGTGGAACACACCTTTAAACCCTAGAAAAACCTCAACCTTTTCCTCTTAAATATTATGGCTAACGATTCAGTCGAACACCCTAGCATGGAAGGCCAGGGCAACAACCATGGCTAAGCAACTGAACAATCCATACTACCTCCCCCGCAACAATTGATCTTCAGGTGGCGGATGCCCTAGCCCAAGCATATTCGCAATTCACCACTTTGTTAAAAACGCCTTCTATGAATGGCAAACTACCACCCCAAGATGGACCAATAAATTAATGCCATGGAGAGCACAGTGCACCTCCACCATCACCTAAGCCACAAAGCCACCTCGCATCTGAACAACTCCATGAGATGGAGTTAGAGGCGAATCTTAGCATGATCGCCACCTATGGTCAGGAACCAAGCCACACACAACCGATTTTGGATAGTGAATCTCCGAAACGTCGTCAAAGAACTAGTTAGAGAATGTAGAGAGATAGGAGAGGTAGGGGACTATGGTTTCCAGCAGGACTCATCTTTGTTAGCCAATATTCTTGGTGCAGTCTTTCCTCCAAATTCAAAATTTCGATCTTTTCAACCGTATGATGGATGTACCGATCTCCGGAGCCACTTGGCCACCTTTGGAACTATGATGTATCTTTAAATCAACTCTGAAGACCTCATATGTAAGGTTTTCCCAAACACACTGAAAGGAGCAGCTCATGAGTGGTACCAGACTCAAAATAGGATCTATTCAATCATTCTCACAATTAGCTATAACATTTCGAGCTCGGTTTATAATATGTGTACCATCCCGAAAAATATCATCTGACCTAGTAGACTTAAAAAGGGAAGATGGAGAGACTCTGAGACAATACATCTCCAGATTTCAAAGAATGGCGATGCAGATAGAGAACCTGAATGATGAAGTGGCTATCAATTTTATGGCAAAGAATTATAGGTATAAAACATTATTCGAAAGTCTGAGTATAGATCCTCTTCTAACTTTTATCGAACTCATGGCACGGGCCCACAAATACACAAAACTGGACAAACCTACAAGGCCTAACATAGAAGGTCGCCTAAGGAGGAGAAAGCTAGACACAGATGACACCCCTCCCCTGTAACATCCCTTCCCGGTCCACCCGTTAACCCGAATGAACCGAGCCGAGACGCTACAATCTGGTTGAACTTATGTCCTGTCATGCTGATATCATTGTCCCTGTCCATGGCTGATATCAATCCTGTATGCTAAATAATGAATACAAAACACTCCCCAATTAAAACTCTAAAACTCCAACATCTCCAAATAATCTCCATAACACAATAAAACACTTTATAATCTTTTCATAATTGTATAAATCCTCAGTATCCCATTTATATCCAGCAATTATTGCAATTCATTATATAATCCAAGTCTCATGACCTAATCATCAGCCAACTAAATAGTAAAGATAGTTCATATTCAAGTCATTTCTCCAACATATTCTACACCAAAAATAATTACATGCTCAATGATATTTCCAATCACATAAGCCTAACAAATGTTAATAATTATACATGCCATAAATTCTTAATTATACAACTCTCATCTAATTATGAAACCAAATTAATCACTTCTCTGGCTTGATAGTACTGCTCAAGTCTTCAAGTAGCAAACCACGATTTCAACTACGCGTGAATAAAAGAATCGATGCGCTGGTATAAAACTCAGTGTGCTCATAATTCACATACTTAACAAAGTGTGATGGACAACTAACTTAAAATACAAAAATTTTCATTTAAAAGCATTGAAAATCTAGATTCAGTAATTTCAACATCATGTATCTTATAGCATAAGAATAACTTAATGCATAACATAAATAAATTTAGTTCAATTAATATTCATAAACTCCTTACCATAACCTTTAATACACACATATCATGATAACTATCATGATCTTACCTGCTGTTCCATTCAAAGGAGTTGCAAAGGCAAGTTGATGAACTTATGGAGAAAGGTTTGGTGAGAGAAAGCATGAGCCCGTGTGCCGTTCCCGTGCTTCTAGTACCAAAAAAGGATGGAACATGGCGCATGTGTGTTGATTGTAGAGCGGTCAACAAAATCACTGTAAAGTATAGATACCCTATTGTAACGTCCCATTTTTCTATTGAATCGGGTCGTTGCTTAGAGTCGAGTCGGGCTGATCCAAAGCCCGGTTCGATCCATTAGATTCTAGAGTGGACTAGAATGGGATGTAATTGAAATAAGGAAAAGAAGTGGACAACTGAAATAAGGAAAAGAAGTGGACTTACTTGAAGGAAACAAACAGATCAAAGTATAAGGATTAGGACTTACTTGCACTAAAAGAGAAAGCTTAGGAATTAAGTTGTGACATAGTGACACTTGAGGGACCATTTGGTTTACACACAAAATCATGATATTTTTGGAGTATTCCCGAGACTTCCATTCCACTACATGTTTCATCTTTATCTTCTTCATCTCCTTCATCAACTTTCTTTTCTCCATCACGTTTAATGGTGGGGAAGATTTTAATGGGAGCTAAGCATTAATTCAACTTCTATTCTATCCAAGAGAGGTGAGCCAAAGGGTAAACCTTCTTTGAATTTCATACTGACTCATTGGTGATCCTGTTGATAATTATAAGAATTTAATTGTATAGGAGAGGTGAGCCAAAGGGTAGAAGGAAAGCTAAAAGAAGAGCTTAAGCTTATTGGTCGTAACAGGTTGTGCTAATCCTCCTTTTAGTTTAAATCAATATCTTGATGAGAAATCGTGGTGGTGTGTTGTTAATGTAGACTAATATTGACATATTGCTTCACGTTGAGTGGGAGGACTGGTAATGGTGAGAAAATAGGGGATGGAATGAGTTTATGCTGAACCAGAGTTTGCTGGAAATTTTACCAGCAACTTTATCTTGATTTTCACCCCATTTAATGATGGAACTAGGAATTGGCATAGAAGAGTTATTTGTTCCTCTATGTGTTATCTTTACGTGGCCTTTTGAATCATTCAATTTGGAGTTGTATATTGAGAGTTATGGCCAAAAGAACACAGACTGCACAATCTGGAAACACGTCGCGCGCTTGTGCGGTCTGGAAAGCAAGTCGCGCTCGCGAGTCCCGCGCTCGCGATTCCCTATTGCGCGCTCGCAGACCTTGAGTTCAAGGTAGCTTCTCCGCCTCTCAAATGGCACAACTCCGCTCGCGACTTCACATGCGCGGTCGCGACTTGGCAGAAGCTTCTAACTCTCACGTGTGCGCATCTCGCGCTCGGCGAATCACACAAGCGCGCTCGCGACTTCAATCTCGCGCTCGCGACTTGGTGCTGCGCGGTCCGCGACTTCAGCCAGAAAACACACTGACGTCTGCAAGATGCGCACAGATCGCGCTCGCGACTTTTTCACATTCGCGGTCGGACTTGTGGCTGTGACACTTTTTTGCTCTTTCATCTTGCTATGTATTACATTCCTTTTGCCAAATGCATGCATGCCAATGCATTTAACAACAAAAATCAACATAAAGAACATGGTTAAAACAACATGTGAGCAAATCAATATGATGTGAAATCAAATCAACATGAAGAATTATGAAGTTCATGGAACCAATTAATTGTATTATGATGTTTATATTAATTGACAGTACCATAATAATGCTTCCATGTGAGGTTGGGAGAAACCATGTACAGATAAGGCTAAATGTCGCGACATACGAAATAGCAGATCTTTGCGCCCCAATAACATTTTGGATCCGCTACAAGGCCGTTTGAAGTTGAATATGATTAAACCGTGCCGGTGCAAATCCGGTTCTAGGGGCAACCAAAAGCGGACAGGTATCTTCACTAGATTATGACAGTGGCATAGCGAATCCGTTCGGGGCCCTATAAGCCTACAGTAATGTAACAGTTTTATCTTATCACTTAGGTTTCACTATAACCTTAGGGAGACATACAGTTAATACAGTTATATTGACTACAAATTACATAATCATACAGTATAATGAGCAGCAAGTACGAT